GTGCTGTCAGCAGGAGGGAGGAGGCACTGGGGTGCTTCGGGCAGGGTCTCCCCTGCTCAAAGACCCTCCCCCATCCCCGCAGCCTCACCGGGAGTCGTTGAAGCTGTGCCACTCGCTGGAGATGGGGCTCTTGCAGTAGGCAGTGTAGTGTCCCCCCATGGTGGTGCCCGAGTGGTTGGAGACGGCGTAGAGGTTGTAAATGGTGTGGTCTGGGGGGGTGCAAGGGCCAGGGCTCAGCTGGGCTGGCTGCTGCCCCCCAACATGCCAGCAGGGAGCTGGGACTGGGAGGGACTGGTACCCTGCGGCGCCCACCCCTCTGGGCTTGTGAGGCTCAGCACCCTGGGGGGGCAGAAAGGGGAGCCCAGGGCTGGGTACTCACTGCAGCTCTGCGAGGCGAACTCCCGGAGGTCCAGGTCCTTCAGCTGGAAGTTGACAAAGGTGGTGAGCTTGCTGGTTCGTATCCTGGCCTCTGAGAAGCGCTTCAGGTCTGGGAGGGCACGTCAAGGAGACCAGGGACAAAAGGGGAGGCTGTGGAGAGCTGCCTGCCCTGTCGCCCCCACCACCACCTGCAGCCCCTGCCCCCATCCCTCTGCCTGAAGGATACGAAGCACCAGGATCTTGGGGAACTTCTGGATGCTGAATTTCTTCGTGCACCTCGTCCTGGCTTTGCAGCGGCAACACGTCTGTGGGAGGCAAAAAGCAGGAGGAGGAGGAGGGTGAGGGCAGAGGCCAGTCCCCAGCAGGCAGGGAGCCCACAGTCCTGGGAACACAGGCTTGGAGGGAAAGGGGCCCAGCCTGCACCGAGACAAGACCCCTGTCACCAAGCCCCACACCCCCTACCGGTTTCTCATCCCCATCCAGCACGTCCTCTTTGGTGAAGAGCCGTAGGCAGTCCATGAGGGTCACCTCCCCATAGCTTTTCTGTGGGAGCACAGCGTGGGTCAGGGACAGGGTGTGCAGGGAAGAAGGGGCTGGGGGTCAGCAGGGACCCCTTACCTTGGGGATGGGCAGGGAGAGGTCCCAGAAGGGGTCGAAGGCTGTGGAGCAGTAGCCGCACTCGCTGCAGGTCAGCGAACTCTTCAGCTGCCCAACGAAGAGGTCTGGTGGGGGTGGGACAAAGCAGGGTGAGACCACCCAGCTCCCAGCCCCACACCCAGCCCAGCCCTGCCCTCCTGTCCCCACAGCCCTGCTCACCACTGATGCGACTGTCCTCCCTCTCCTGGTACCTCCTCCACATCTGGCGGCTCTTCTCGTCGTCGCTGCAAGAGATGGGGAGATGCAGTGGCACTGGGGGACCCTGACCCCCCACGAGCTGGCCCAGAGGGACCTGCATGGTCCCTGGGCATGGCTTGCAGGCAGTGAGCTTGTCCACGGGGCTTGTCCCCTGCCTCCACCCCAGCCAGCACTTACGGAAGATGGTCCAGGGTGTCGGTGCTGGCCCGTGGCCGCACCAGCACAACGTTCACCCCGCTGT